CGAGTTTTACCAGCTACTACATGTACATAAGTGAGTGCATATAAGTGGTACCCTTGAACAACTGGCACATACTTTGCGAAAGTTTCTTTTTTGGTTCAGTATATATGTTTACATTTTCTAACTTTATTTATTATAGTTAGCCTACATGAAATGGACACAAGAAACTTCCGGAAGCTTTGAAAATACTTTCATACAAAAAATGCTGTGGAAATGCACCAACATGGAAACTTCTGATTAAAAAAATATAGGTTACAAATACAAAAAAGGAACATAGGTATATTCAATTTTATCATATACGAGTATATTCTTTTTTATATTAAAGATATAGACGATATTTGTTTGTTTGTGTGTAAGATGGGATTTTATTTAATCGAGTGGGCTTTAAAAACAGTATTCTCACGAATGACGTAGCCACGATAATGTCTTTAAAGTTCACGAGATGAAATAAAATTACATCTTACACAACAAACAAACACATGTTCTTTTTATTCTATGCTCAAAACGAAATTTCCTGAAACACTTACTTTAATATTAAAATCTGTTTTCTCCACTGGTAGCCTCTATTAGTCGAATCAAAATAAAAGAAGTCTTGGGCTGAAATAATAATATGAATAAGTTCGAAAATCAAGGTTAAAGTCGGTGATATTATTCTTTTTTTCCCCCAAAAAAAATATGAATGATCGCTTGTTTTAATAATAAAAACATACAATTCTAGTAGAAGAAAAAGTCACACCATCCGACCTTATTTCCGTTACTTACTTCGAATTTATATTAGACCCGGCTTTGTGAAATGTAGACGACCGCCATTTATAAAAGTTGTGTATTTCACGGGAGGAAAACAATTCTGTTTGATTCAGAGGGATATCAATTGGATTTGTTAGTCACACATCTTTTTAGAAGAAAGACAACTTATTTGAGGATTGTAACGTACAATATATATATAAGTGTTGACAGATGTGTTAACATTCAAAAAAACGGCTAGGAAGTTGGAAAAAACATGACATTGTTGAAAGGCTGCCTTCGGAACTCCACTGAAAAAGCATAAAATAAATATTTTTATAGCATCCATGTTATAACGATATAATTATGATATTTGCTAGTATGAATTTTAAACATAGATTCTGATTTGAGACAAGGACGCAGTATCATTGGTTTTTTTGTAGTGCATGTGTAGGATCATTTTAAATGTCATGATTCTTGTTAATTGTTTTTCAAAAAAGTTATTTACTTTTCTATACACGTTGATATGGAAATTCGGACATGTTATGGACTTTGAAACAAAATGTTCAGAGCACTGTCGTATGGACTGATCGTTTTGGTACACTAGCAATGTCATTCTGTAACACTGAGACATATTACTGGTAACTCTTTTACCTGAAAGTGGCGATAGGCATGGGAACTTGTAGTAAATAAAGACAAATTTAAATAAATTTCGGAAAGACGCGCGATTATTCTAGATTCACTCGGTTATTTTCTTTCTTAATTTCACTCGGCTCTCCCGGGTTTCGATGTCCGTCATTCTTAAAGGAATCCATCCAAAAGTTTCCCTGATGTTTTTTTAACTTAATAACTTCACATTTCCGTGACAACAATTCTGGTCTTAACTATGAAAACATTTAATCACAGAATATTTCAAGACATTTGATACCCCACATTTCAATGCTGGGCAATGCATAGTTGTTTGGTAGTTATAAAACGGGCTCTATTTCATTCTGTTAAAACAATAAATTATCACTAATTACGTATGTAACTCTCAATTGCATTTACATGGAACATGATCGGAGTTCGGAACGAGTAAACTTTGCTGTAGGGCTACCACAGCCTTGTTATGTTAAATTAATTTGTTAACTTAGGTAAAGCACTCTGGCAAATCTATTTAATTGCTGACATCATATTACTGGTGCCTCCTTATAAGTCGTATATTACGATACTACAAGAAAAACTTCATGATCCTTATTGTCACGAATATTTTTGATTATGCCACAAAGAGCAATATGCAAACTATAATTAAACATAGAAAAATATTCGTTTGTCTCCAAAGGTTTGCAATCAACACAGGTGTTGCTTTTGTTGAGGTGCTTGAGAATATTTACATGCTAGGGGACTTGGCAGACTGTTTTAAATAGGATGAAGTGTACAAACGTCTAGATAAACTACAGTGAAACTTCCGAATTCCAGAACTTCTAAAATTCGGAAACTTCTGAAATCTGACCATTTTTCAGGGTCCCTTAATTTCTCCTCCTGTTTTCTTTGTAATTAGTACCTCTGAATTTCGAAACTTCTAAATACTGAATTCCGAATGATTTTCTGGTAAACGTTTGGCCATATCAACTCAAATTTACTCCAAAATCCGGAAATTGAAAAAGGTTAAAATAATTTTAAAAAAGTAATGAGTATGTGTGTAATACATGAAATATATCAAGGATAAATTGTCAATAAACATTATGTTATTTTATCAACAAATGCAGTAAGAGGTGATAATGAAATCTAAAAGAGTAAGAATTTTTTTTTAAAGTTCTATAGTTTTGCCATTTTATAAATTTAATCAGCTTCAAATGTTTTTCATCATGTCGATGTTTAACGTTTAATATCGAAATTTTGAATTTCGGAAACTTTCAAATTACTTTTTGGCTAGTCCCACAGGTGTTCGGTTTTCAGAAGTTACACTTTACATGCAATAGAAGAACATGATATTTGTTCATATTTGTAAAACTATTATGTTTTAACATATTAACAAGAAAGTACACACAAAGCAACAACAGTATTTGTTATCTTCTGTTTCCAATATCCCAATGCAATAATAATTCAATAAATAAAATGTTTAATGAAATGGCATAACATGTTGAAAACTAAGGTTGATGTTTATCTAAAAACTTGCGACTAGGCTGATTTTTTGGCCCTATAGAAGTATGTTATTATCACAAGAATCTAATATCCATACTGACTTTCGGGGTCATTGATATCAATATTTTTTGTGTTGAGTATTAAATTCCGCTTAAGCCGTTTCTAGGAGGTAGGAGAGATTTCAGAGATACAATTTCTATAAGTAAACATACTCATTAAAAATAAGTCTGCAATTGTCACTATTTAATTTGTTTCCGTTCCTGCTGAGTGATCTCCCATTTTCTTTTACATTATACTGGAATTTTTGATATGCTTTCCATATGCTCCTTTCGTAAAGTGTTCTAAATTTGTTTGATATAATGTTCGATCACCGTCCTATATATTGTTGTGACTCATACACCTTGCTGTTTGGCAAAGTGTGCTACGAAATTATTATACTAAATATAATTACTAAAAAAAGCTTAAACAAAACGCTACTATGTTATAATTTGATGCACTTACCTCTTGAAAACATTTGTTTAAATGAGTTAGCATATATCTTGTAAAAAATTTCATTTCAAAAATCTATTTTTAGCCCTTCTGATCCAGATGTTCAATTGAACAAAACCATTTGAATAGTTTTAGTAAGCTTCATCATAGAAACAACCCAAGAAAATTTCATCACATTTGACCCAGTGGTTTCTGAGAAGTTGTTTGTATAAAAAGTTGGCGACGGACGCACGGACGCACTGACGAACGATGGACGTCGGACAAATTGTGATCACGAAAGCTCACCTTGAGCACTTTGTGGTCAGGTGAGCTAAAAATGAAAAAAAAAATCACTGTCTAAACAAACAAAATCACGGGAGGTTACTCATGCGCTCCTTAAGAACGAAAAATTACCGAGATTTCTCTCCCTTGGCAGAAATGTAAACAAACGTGACCTTGGCAGTGTTTACATTTTCGATCGATAAACGGTTAGATGTGTATTGATGGTACTTGCTACTTGATTATACGTCACAACGCGCGGGTGGCGCAAAAACTAACTTTTAGTATTCATATAAGGGGCTGACTTTACTGGACTAATTTAATTATTTCTTGGCGTAGTCAGGCGTTGATATCTCCCTTAACTATTCTCAAAACATGTATCTAAATAATTCACATTTAAATTTGTAAAACCAAGGAATAACAATCAATAACGATCTTTAATTTTACCATCAAATGGGACATGTTTCACCATAAAAATATTTATCTTATGCAAGCAAACAGTAGAACGCGTTTTAATATACGCATAGGAGCGTATTTCAATGTTGATTTTGATTAAGTGTATTACAATTATGAAAGCAGCAGACCTCTAGTAGTTAACTGAAAAACTACCGTCTTACTAATATTTTAAAATCCTTCCTCAAAAACATTATTTTTTTTTGCTCTGAAAACAATAAGTTCCTTTCTCCGCCAACGGGAAATACATACTTTTATTATACTACGGAATTCTTTCATTGGTTGTAATAAACCTTCGCTATAAATATGAATAACACTATTTAAAGCAGCTCGTACCCATTGACCGTTTCTTTTTTCAAAATGGCGGAGAAATCCTATTTGAATGTGATCTGAAAAAATATTTTTAACTGATTAAGTACCTTTGCGTCATTAAATAGCACAAACTTTTATATCAAAATGATACAAAACGTTTTCTCAACTCAACGAATCATTTTAACAAGACTGACAATTCAGATTACCAATAGACTTCCACAGTCTTCCTATATGAAATATCTATGTTAAGGCAGGTACATAGATATCTACATCTCTGGTTTAGGTTGAAGAAACACACGGAATCCGGGATCGTATCAAACATAGAGGGAACAAATAAACTGCCTTTTGTTTTGATATTTGTAGTAATGTGTGGCAATAAATTATAATTGATTAATTATATCATATATATGATGACCAATATATCGATGAAATATGAATAGGGCCTAGTCATTAGTGAAAATTGATATACGAACTGTGGGGTACTGGATACCGGGATTTTTCCTAACCACTGTTGTGTCACGTGACCATGTTGGTGAATTATATTGGCTACGTAGTAGAGTATGCATAGAAAAATACGATATATTGACGCTTTGATTGAATCAAGATATCAGTAATAATGGATTAACACATAAAAACTAATTAGATAAGTATCTACCGTTTATTTAAATCTTATCTTATTTTTTCCATTTTACCACCTGGAGGCCAGTGGCTTTAAAATCAATGTTTATGCCTTTTCTATTCAACGCATGAAAGGAAAAATTCTAGCGCATAATTTAAGAAAATAATAACACTATTTTTATTCTTTGTGTTCTAAAGTTTTTTTCATTATGCATTTTGAATATAACAAATTTGTCAATTCCGGAGTAAACAAATTTCCGGTTGGCGAGATCATAGGTTATCGGCGTGTGACAAAGCCCTACACCGAGGTGCACCGTCCCACAAGGTTCAGCTATACTTTTCAAATATATTTCAACCCATTCAAAAGGAATGGATCATTGATTCCCTCGATCGGAGAAATAGTTTAAATGATGGAATCTCCTATTATAACAACAGGACGAATTTCTGAAAGAAATATGAATAAATAGATAAAAATAAAATCAACAATTAAATAATGATAATTAAATTACAATATATGAAAATATATAATGTACAATAATGTAACCTACAATTAGTAAAAACATCCGAGTGACAATTCCAACATAACTCTGTTAGAAAAATAAACAAAGCGCAGCAAAGAATATGTTATCTTAACAAAAGAAAACATATCAAAACGTGTAGACAAAAACCAAAAATATGATATACTGATATTTAAATATCAAATCTATCCGTATAGTAAGCATATAGTTTCAATGTTTCGGTTAAAGTAAGTAAACAACAAAATTTATAATATAAACAAAACAATATAAAGGATTCTCATTGAACCCTTAGGGTTCTACGAGAACCAATATTCTACGCCCTTTTTATTGGATTTCTTTGAGTTAAGTCTTAGAACCTCAAGCTGATTCTTTGAAAAGAATATACAATAAAAGACTTAGAAATTACCAATTGTTGACAAAATTAAACACTGACTCATCAACCGTCCACTTTTGTAAATCATTTTTTTTTTGGTAAACATCTTAAATTAATATTGATGAATTGGATTCAAACCCAATCTAGGTAGATTATCTGCAATCCGATTATACTCTGAAGGTTATTGCTGCGCTTGAATCACGAATTCATTAATTGCAGCATAATAACAAATCTCCCTGAGACAAGACTTCAAAAAGGGACAACGTGATTTCATAGTATTAAAAATGATGTAGACTGACAAATTATCACAATTGTGCTTGTGCTTAAAATTGCTTCCCCATAAATAAACACATACTACTAACGACACGATTTCAAGAACCCATATGTAACTGTTTTCCTAAAGTAAAGAAGGAAAAAACAGAATGAAAGAAATTATCCATACATTAACCACCATATCAGAAGAAAATATAGCATCCGGCCCTGACAAAGGGCCAAGTAAGATCAAGGATACTCCATTATATATTATACAAGAAAAGCATTGATGCAAAGCATCAAAGGGCGTCCAAGTAAGAAATGCAGCAGGTGAAGATGAACTAGTAGATATATGATGACAAGATATTCTTATAAACTTTTCAATGGTTAATTGGTTTTTACCAGAATTGTATACCACTTATGAATGAACGGATGAAAGACATTGTTCATTATTAACTTTGATTGTCATGCTAGAGATAAGAATATTACTTGTTATTTATTTATGATCGTGGTTATTAATAGCAACGGATATAAATGTATACGATCATTTATAATCCATATGTGTAACGCATGATCAACACCACACTTGTGTAATTGTCCCTTATTATGTTATCGCTATTAGCGAAGGAACCCTCTTAAGGTATCTGATCACACTTAGTAACAAAATGACACTGGTTATATTACCATGTTGATCATGTTGAGCATAATTGTTTATTGTACAATAATTGTTTTATCTATCTTAATAAAAAATTCAGATTTTATGAATATTGTTTTCTTATCTTTGTTGTGTTTTATTTGCTATTTTAATACTGAATTTTTACCTTTACTACTATTTTAAGAATTCAATTGTAATATTGACCGACGATTATAAGTCAAAACTTAACTGGAAAAGTCAGTAAATTATAGTTTATCTTTCAATATATAATATTGTTTATTCTTAAACCATATACATGTACATTTCTATTTTTCTTTATCATTTTTAAAATTATCAATCAATTGAAGAATTTATAAAATTTAATTTGTAACTTTGAATAATTCCTCGGCATCTTTACTAAACACGAATAACAAATTAAATAAAATGTTTCAAAGTTGATAGTGTCACATTAATACCATAAAAATGTACCCTTTTTCTCAATTATTGTACATATTTTTTTAATCTCATATAGATAAAATAAAACATGCTATTGTTGTTGTTGTTTTTCATTCGAATTGTATGCTTATGTATAATTATAATAATCAATAAATTTGAGAGTTGATCTGTATTTATTAATTATTGTGACCAAACTAAGTGACAAACATTCATTTTGAAAAAAAGCTTATTTATCAGTAAAATATTTGTTCTGTTCTGTAACGATATCAAACATCTACTCCAAAACCGGGAGAGACCGGACAATAAACGTGTGGTACTATTCGCCGGTCACTAGTAAATCCCGGCCAAAATAGACCAGGAGAGACCGGGAATTACCGATAGGAGTACATCCCTCTATAAATAGATTTTCGGAATATTTAGGTCATCAACTCATCATTCTATTTACAGCTTTTGATACATGTATAACAATAACATACTATAATAACCACTGTGGACTACAAAATGATAAATAAAAATACCCCGAAAAGCGCGATTTATTGACGGAAAAGGTTATTTCATTTGAAAATGTTTGCATTGCGAAATTCTCCAGTTCGCTATTCATTGTACATATCGCGACATTTCATAATCAAGCACCCTCATACCGATCGGAATGATCGGCTTTTATTATGACCGACTTAAAGGCTCGAGAAGTTGCTGTCGCCTTTTCACAAAATCTGATTTCATTCCATAAAAGGCGCCGCGCTTCGGCGCGGACGCCAATAAAGGTAAAACTTGTACTCCGCGAATGTCTCTTTTGACCTCCTGAGGAATATCAAATACCTTAGAACTGCCTGCACCATGTAAGTCTCATTACCAGTTTAATAACCGATTAACAAACACCCTACTGGATTTAACACAATAGCAATTAAAATTGGGTTACCCAAGTAAGAACTGTATTTTCTTTATAGCGGGTTTTTCTTTGTATAACCAGAGTGAAAAAGAATATTTATTTCTTCTAGGCTATCTACAGTGATATCCATGGTCACTTTTGAAGTATTAAATAACACTCTTAAAAACTCATCAAATTAGCAGAATGACAGCTTTTACCTAAGAATCGTCTTTTCCACTGTACTGTAAAACCTTTTCTAAAGTAGAATAAGCCATATGAGTATTCACAGGTCTCTCAACACCTACAAAATCATCCAGGTAATTGGATACTAAAATGAATTAAAATAAATGATTAAGCATTACTCACACTTTTACAAATAGCAGCAGCACTGCGTGAACCCATTGACAAGATTGTATCAATAAATGTGATTATCCCAAACAAAAGACCAACATTATATTGTGAAGGACATGTGTTTATTTGTCTAAATAGTCACGCCCTTAATACGTTCACTATAATTTTCAAAAAAAATCCAGATAATTTTTTTTATTAAAATAAATAGTTTCCCAGTGTTTAAAGTGTGTGTGATATGGCGAGCGGATATGATAAGTTTGTGAATGAAGATTTTAGATATACGGATTTAGATGAAGGTCAGGATACCAAGAAATCTAGCGTTTACTTTGCTGTCTCAACACAAAACAGATTCGAACAAAAAGGAAAATAGCGGAGATTTTAAACAAGTAACATCGAAGACCAAAAAGGGTAGTAGTGCTTGAAGTAGTGATTGCTTTAATGGATTAAGAACGGATGATAAGTTAGAACGCATCTATGATCAATTGTCTAAAAATTATGACAAAATACGAGGAGTTGAGAAGCAGCAGTTATCACTACATAAGGAGCTCTATACTGTAAACAAAGGCTTCCAGGACCTAGAATAGAGACTGAGTAAAATGGAGGAGTTGTGTAAAGGATAAGACTGGAAAGTAAAAGTACTGACTTAAAAATAAGTTGATTGTGAAGCAAGAAGTATGAGAAATAATTTAGTGATATATGGTCTCACAGAAAAATCACATTTTCAAAATTGTAAAAGCCCCGTTTTGGGTTTTCTTGAAGATGAGATCGATATTGACACAACGGATATGTATATTGAGAGGGGGCATAGACTTGGAAAACTTACACAAGATAAATATAAGGGTATGATTGACCAAAAAGGTCCGATGGTCGTGCGATTTAGGGATTTGAAACTGAAAACACCATGAACAAAATTTATAAGCTGATAGGTAGTAATTTAGGAATAGACACACAGTTTCCTAGAGAAATTTCAATGGCCAGGGCCGCACTATATAAAACAGCAGAAGCTAGAACAACGAGATCAAATAGACAAAAAGTGCAAATAAAATATTCGGCTGTGTTATACATAGATGGGAAATGTGTGAAAGATGAGTTCCCGGACAGGTGGAAAGTGTTAGGAACTGATAGAATGAACCCGGCAGATAGGCTGAATAATAATAACTACTAGAGTGGATTACCGAACAGACGGATGGACAGAACTTAATCATGTACAATAGTAGAAGACAACATCAGTGGGCAGGATGAGGAGTTAAACTCTGTGCAAAGTGAAAGTGAAAGTATACGCGCGTGTTCAGATGTAAACAATGTGTCACGTGATCAATAAAAGGCGATAGGTATGAATAAAACAAACATAAATAGTGACGAAATAAGCTTATTAAGAGAAGATGTAGTTCATAGTAAAAATCAAGTATCTGTAAAATATATTAACTACAATTTAAACAATGATTAACGTACCAACACACAACAGAAGCAAAATAAGAACATACACATCACTGGAATTTCCCATAACGGTAGGACTTCTCAATTCGAGCTACGCGGGGTAATGTGAAACCGGATATTGGGCATAGAGCGGAATCCCAAAATAAAACTGTACAGGGAAATGTGAAACGGACGAACAATAGTACGGTGTCAACCAATGACACTACAGGGCAGAAATAGGACAGCAGTCAAGTTTTGTTTATTAAATGTACAGAGACTCATAGGGAAAACATATACAATAAACTAGACTCAAGTAAAATGAAACATTTATTCGAAAATAATGAGATTGTTCTTTGAGACATGGTCAAATGATCTTTATGAAGTTACAAACTTTGATTATTATATTTTACATAGAAGATCAAAATCTAAATGTGCAAAAAGTGACAGCGGTGTTTTTTAATAATATATGTCCATCATAAATTACAACAACAGAACTTGTTAAATTTTCAGGTGACTGTTTTGATACGGCTGAAATTTAAAGCATTGTTTAATTTTGAAAATGTTTCATTTGTGTGTTTGGCAAAGGGTAGTAGAAGGGAAAATTTGAAATTTTACATGATGACATGTTGAATTTTGAAAATATGTACAATAATAAATGTAATTTTATTTTAACTGGAGATTATAATGCTAAAGTTTGGGAAAGATTAGGTTGTGTTGAAGAATTCTACCATATTTTGCATGATTTGTTACCAGAAGATTATATACAAGATGAAATATTGTAAATGAATATTGAAAATTATTGTTAGAGTTTTGTAAAGCTTCTGCTGTTAGAATATTAAATGGCAGATGTTGTGAAGATAATAATGTAGGTAAATATACATGTATTAATACACAAGGCAGCAGTGTAATAGCATATGTTTTATGTAGAACAGATTTGATGCAATTTATTTCACACTTTGAAGTAAGTGACCCAAATATTTTGTCTGATCATTGCTGTGTGCATTTTAATCTAAAATCTTGTAAAATATCTGAAAATGAAGATAAAACTAAAACTGATTATTCAAATATACTTTCCAGTTATAAATGGGAAAACAGTAAAAAGGAATTGTTTATTAGTAGTTTATGTAGTAATGGTGTTATGAATGAATTTGTAAATATATGTCAAAATGTTGATGATGCTGTAAGTAGCCATGAAATAAAACAATCTTTGACAAATTTCCGTAATATATTAGAAGATGTATGTAATTCATTATTTAAAAGAAATGTTACAAATAACATTAATATTAGTTCCAACATAAGAGAAAATAATATATTTTATGATAATGATTGTAAAGTTTACAAAAACATACTATAGATGTCTGAATATTTGGAGAAATAATAAATGTGATGAAACAAGTGCAGGAATGGTACAAGCTCGTAGTAATGATAAAAAATACTATTAGGAAAAAGAAATGAATTTATGATGAGGAACAAACACACAGAATAGAAAATGCTAGGCTTTAACCGAGTCTGCAATTCTTATGTTATTTTGTTGTGATTAATGCTTCCGAGGGATCACTTTGTTTCCAGAATTTTGTACTTCACAACAGCAGGTTTCAAGTGCCGTGTTGCAGCCGTAAAAAGTTGCCCCGTACTTCACTTCAGTGTTGTTATATTTTCTGGTCCTTCGGGATCATTGATGCCAACACTATAAAGTGTTGAGAATTGAGTTCCGCTCAAGCCGGTGCTAGGGGGCGTGAGGGATGTTGCAGTTATTTATTATCCCTCATGTACAGACTCAATTAAACCGAGTCTGCAATTCTTATGTTATTTTGTTGTGATTAATGCTTCCGAGGGATCACTTTGTTTCCAGAATTTTGTAATGCTAGGTTATATTGGAAAATGTTTCTGAAAATAATAAATGCAAGCTAACCGCAGATGATTTAAAAATATTTTTAAATCTGTAAATAATCCTGAGTCTGTATTTTATCAAGCTGATGAAGATGTCTGGTATTTTAATGATAGATGCTTTAATGAAGAATTAAATGTCATGTTTTCTGACAATGTTCCTTTCACTGGTACTGAATATTAGCATTTTGAACAACACAAGAACCCTTTCGTTATTTCCATATCAAGAAAACATTTATGTGTATGGTAACAAATATGTGACTCTACCGATTTTTTATTTTTATAAGACGGAAATGTGAATTATTTTGATTTTGTAACATTCTTGGAGATTTATTAAAACATAACGTTTGATTCAAATATATCTTCTAATTAATATTCGTCAAATTTTTAATTTAAACTACATTGTCAGACTAAAGTGTGAGAACAGGAAGAGGAACTTCCAGGATGTTTTAGTTTAAGCTTATTTCTAATCCAACATATGACACAAATATGCTGAGCCATATGCATCTTTCCATGAACAACTTTCATATGATTTTGTTCAAAACCATACTGGTAAGCTATCTGTGTCAGCAAAATATTTGGAGATGATGGAATTTCTTTTAGGTTTGGCAGAAGAGTAATTTCCTTTAAATAACACTACTTCTTAATAAGTTAAATCGTCATGCCATGATTTTTTGTTCCTTATTCTATTTGCCTTAGGATAGCAGCATAGTATGATTTTAATAATTTTACTTCATGAGATGTATTCAATTACATAATTCTGTTTAGTAAAGCTAACCTTCTGGTTTGCTCTGAATTTTTTGTTTTTTGATAAGAAATTATTTCTAGATATCAATTGTAATTACTATAAATTAGTTGCTTTGCTTCAGAAATATTACTTTAAACCTGTGTTAACAATTCTTAAGGTGTTGCCTTAACCTTGAATCAATAGCTAAAATAATTCACAATGCTTTTTTTAACTTTGATAACGGCATAAACAGTTTTCCATAGTTAAGGATATACGCGCGACGCACCAGTGAATCGTCCCAAAAACAACTCAATGTGAATAAAATGTCCCTCTAGATAAAATAAACCGCTTACTTTTAGTGTAAACCTCAGTTTATTAAGACTACAAGCGCGTAGCTTTACGTTACAAATTCTGACTTTTGACTCTCCGAAAAGTTGCAATCTCAGCCTATTTATACTAAATCTGCGCATGTAATTGCACCCAAAATTAGTCTGCTTGCTATCTAAGTGCACCCAATGAATCACGCAGTCTTACAGTAGAGAATTTACACAGACTGGTTTACAAAAAATATGGCCATCTCAGCAAAGTTTATACTACCGTAAAGCTATACAACAGTGTCGTGAACCTTAGATAGGTTTAAATTATTGATTTTTCTCTCTAACAACTTTACCACAATGCATTGCGAAAACATTGCGTCTATTTAAAACTGTTTAAATGTGTTTATAACAATTTCTAACATTTCGAGTTAAATACATGGATTTAAATCAATTCACATGCTGAGAAGGAAACATAAGACTTTGTTCTACTAGTGCGATAATGTTTCAGCACAATGTTGTAAGGTTTATGCATGGAAATAAACAAACAATAAAAAATATATATGTCCGAAAAATTTGGATACAAATACAGACATAAACAAAGGATCAACAAGGATCTGCACAAACATGTATAGGCAAAACTAGTATATACGCTACTTGTATGGGTGCATGTTTTGTCATTTTAAAGCAAAATATGCCTTATCTTGTGTTTATAGCTGGTTATATCACCAAACATGTTATTCAAGAATCAATGAAATCTACCTAATGTCAAAGTGCCAAGGTAAATATAAATAACATTGATCCTGTAACACAAATTTTTCATGGTTTTATTTCATAAATATGATGATCAAATTAAGATTTGTCAATATTGTAAGTTCCAATAAGCATTATTATTATAAGATATTACCCAATTTACTATTTCATGTAAATAAAGGGAGGTAATTAGAAATTTAATTTCTATAAATTCTAAGTCAAATTTTCCAATAAGAAATGAATGCATGTAATTTATTGATTAAATATAATGTGCACAAATATTTGCAGTACACATTTTACATATTATTCGATGTTTGAAAATTGTTTTATTTGCATAATTATTTACATATATAATGTTTTGCAAGTGTGGTATACACACAGTAACAATATCAATCACAAAACACACAGGATCTTTTACTTGTATAATTCTACAATATTGTTTCAAACAATGCTAAATTTGCAAAGTGTAGAATACTGATGTTTTAATGGTTGATGAAATGTCAATAATGAGCAAAAGATTCATGGAATCTGTAACTGAGGTTTGTTCATTGACAAGAGACATTTTTGGAGGTATATTACTTATTTTATTCTAGTAGGGGAGATACTTTTTTCAGTACCAGTACTGCGTGCCGTTAGAAAGAAAATTGAATTAATTTGTCAGTGATATTTTCTATCAAGCTTTCCCTTATGTTACAATTTTCACAAAAGTTGTGTGATAGAATGAAAGGGACGTGATAAAGAAAATCAGGTAGTTTGGAGTGATGTGACTGATGTCTGATGAAACAATCAAATTATTAAAAGAACTTATAAGATGGAACTATTACATTTTTACTACAGTCGATCTAGTTGACAGCTACAATAGTGATTGAATACTTGAATTTCCGGCCCAATACATTAAAACATTTCAATATACACTGGTGATAAAAATACTTGAAAGGACAGACTGCACCTTTAAAACTTTTGCTTAATGTAGATAAGGTTAAATTAATCCAAGTTCTCTTTTTAGAATAAATATGGTACTTTGTCTTAAAGGCCAGACAAGATCTATTGTGGTGTATTGTGTTCATGTTTGTCTTTTGTTCTTTTATTATGGGTGATGGGACTGTTTTTGCAAGTTGAGTGATGTATGATTGATTTTGTATGGAAGTAGTCTTAAGATGATGATTTGGTTCTGGGATAGCTTACATTTTATTGGTAACTGGCCACTCCTTTCATTGCTTCCAAAGTAATAGGATCACTTTAAAATATTTGTCGTCTCAGTAACTTCTTGATGGAAATACTTTATATTTATATTCAATTTAGTTAAATTAGATTTCTTCTTAAAAGCCTGGTATGTATATATAATTTGTGAAATTATTTTTATTGTAATTTGAATTGTTGTGTATTATTTTGTATTATGTATTTTGTGAAATGTATTTGTCTTGTAAAATATTTGTTTTGTAATTTGATTTCTTATTGTTGTTTTATTTTATTACAGGTTTATTCTCATTGAGTGGTTGTCAACCAAAACACCACCACTACAAATTGGCTCCTCGACAAAAATAGGAACCAGGCGAGCTGTTTCTGGCTGAGGGGCAACAGTGCTAACCGTGGCAGAGACGACCAGCCCAAGCAGCTGGATCCGTCCTAACCGCGGCTGTCAGAGCAGCTGTAGAAGACATTTCCAAGATATAATTGATAATATGTATACCTCCCTACCCCACCCATTTTAGAGCTCCCTCGCGCCACAGCTACAGATGTATATAAACTTGAATTTGTAAATAGTAATCAGCTGGAGGAAGTGTAAATAGACAGTTTATATATGACAATGTAGGCCATTCCGAAATCTCTATGGTTAGCTCGTGAACGTTTAATTGGCCTGTCATGTAGGCAGATTTTAACAGTCGCATTTCAGGTTGCAAAAATTGTATTTGCAGAAAGACACCGGTTGTACCTGCTACACAATTGGTTCCAATCCAGACTTCAATATATAATAATCAAAATCAAGAAGGAAAGACCCATGCAACATAGGTGTATGGATTTCTTTAAGCTGGAGAAGTCCAAAGGATGGTATGAGAACGTATAGGACACTACCAGATATGCCAAAACTATTCCTTGCCGTAATCAAAAGGGGCCTACCACTGCCCGTGCCTTATATGAACAGTTTATTGTCCACTATTCTTTTCCAGAGCAACTGCATTCTCAGCAGGGGTGGAATTTTGAAATATGATAACGAGATCAACAAAGAAAGGCGGTGTCCAATGAACGCAACCCACACACGATCCAGCAACAACAGCCAGTGGCAAGAAGCACATGAGGACCCCAAACATACACAAAACATACATACATACATTTTAGGTATAAATGTAATACAAATTTTGGGTTATGTTTGAGAAAGAAAGAAATCAAGTAAAATAACACTATAGAAGATGAACTTTTTTATGGAATAATAAGTTTGAATAAACAAACTGATACAGTTTAAAGAAAGATTAATAATTTACTTTAATCACAAATAAAATGTATAAGAAAACATCAATCAAAACTTCCATTATCTAGAATAATTAAGTCAATTAATACAAACCCTTCACAATATTTACCATATGCAAAGTAGCAGTATGAAATCATTGATTTGGATGAAGGCACTTTTTCATTTCCAAATGAAGTCTGCATGCTAGCAGCAATTGTATTTGCCTATGCAACCAGTGCAGACCAAGATCTGCCATCCCATGCTTGCAGTCTGATCATGGTCTGCACTGATCGCTATTCAGTCAGTTAATTATAATGTGGGCATCCATTAAAAAGATTGAATGGTATTACCAACATTTTAGAAACTTAAAAAGAAGGGATTATTTTTAAATCAAATGTTGAAAAATGTCTTTTCATTTTAGGTTAGAAGAACCTATTGGCATAGGTGCAAGTAATGTGACTGTTGATGACATGATTATGGTTGATGAACTTACTGAGCTCGATGAACAAAAAAGTTCAGAGGAATTTGACAGTGAATTTGATGAAGATATTAAAATGATATGTGAAACACAGAGTGAATCACTAAATCTCCGAACAGACTTGGATTTAGACGGAATTTTGACTGGCGTTAAATGTACGATTGTGAAAACTCCAATGCAATACAATACCAACTAGATCCTGACAGAAATTGATCATGCGAAGTACACAGAGTTCTGTAAAAATGAATATGCAAAGTTGTAATATTTTGTTGAGAAGTTAGATGTTGATCCTTCAAAACCTGCATCAAGTAAGCTGCAGACTGAATTTTACACTAAAGTACATGCTTACCAAGTAAGTGCTGAAAAATTTAGAATGAATTGCCTAACTTTCTTTGAGAGCATGCAATGTACTGAAGACCGCCTTCACATCCAACCAAATAAGGACATATCTTTTGAAAAAGAAAGCTGAATTGTTTCCTGTAGGAAAAAGACAGATTTCTGATAAAATTCTTACAAATGCTTCTGAGTCACGTGTAAGGTATGTAGGTGGCTATTGTATAGCTAAAATAAGATACAAATATATGCAAAAGAAAAAGAGCTATATGTATAAAGTAGATGAAACCGGGCAAGCTGTATATAATGAGTCCTTGCAAGCAGTAGATATTTTAGATTCTATAAAAGTTGAAGAATACTATTTATTAGCTTCCACACCAAAACCAGAGTCCCGATTAGATGGTAATAGAAAGCAGGGACTGAATAGATCACTTACCAATATACCTGATGATCTTTTCCAGTTCTTCCAGATACTGACTGAAAAATGTCTACAACTTTTAGTGAATACTAATACATGAATACATATGGAAGCAATCTGTTTGAGGAAATAAAAAATACAATTTTGGAAAGTCCTGAATTGTATAATGAATTCTTTAGTGTTGTAGACAAGTGCAGGGCAATTAATCAAGACCTTTGTGAAACTTATGTCCAACAATCTGACAACAATGTGGTCAAAATTATCTACAAGAAAATCATCAAAATATACTTAATGGTTATGGTGAATCAATTTAGAAAAGATGTCTTAGACTCTTTCAGTATTGAAAAGAAAAAGTCCAAAGTAAAATCTAAAGCTAAAAAAGGACCACAAAATGATGATGAAAGGCCTTCCACTTCAAACGACATTAGCATACCTATCATTGAACCAACATGTAGTTCATCAAGGTCAGAAAGGAGACGAAATTTTTTTTAAAAAACTAGTGAAATATCAAGCAGTGATGATGAACATATAAACATTGAAATTCCGCTCGAAGAGCCTAAAGATCAGGCTGTTAATTTTGAAATGTCAGAAAACTCGGAGTCATAAAAAAAATTGTTCATAAAATTTATTTTTGTCAATACTTATGATGTTTGGATGATGTTTAAGGTTTTTGGGTTGTAGAGGGGGACGGGGGTATAATGTGAGACGTTCACCTGTGTACAGGGGCGTATCACGTAGGGCGTAAGATCTGACCCCCAAGCGTCTGTGATCCTAGACAGATATATTTTCAAATCTAATTTTGTTTATTTATGTTACTCAGATGGATAGAACTGCTGGCGTAAAGTTATTATATTACAAATAATGATGTGTCTTGTTAGAGTTCGATTTTTTTCATTTTTTGCATAAGCGATAATGGTGAAAAATTATTATAATCACATAAGCGGCCAAACAAGGAAATAAAATGTTAACAAATGGAACTCCATTTAAAAATTATATTATGAGTGAACTATCGCGTGTCATTATTGTATTTGGTTAATATTAGACAGGGTTTTAGCCATTTAGCCGACAATTGCAGGTAAGTAATGACTGAAATGTTGATTTGCTATAAATTCATTTTTGTAATTTTGTTCATTGAGGATCACGTTTCTGGTACTTTTTATAATAAGCAGTTTTTTTTCCAAACAGAATTACAGTTTTAGGTATTTTTGACATAATGACTGAAAATGTAAAATTTGTCTCAATGAATGTTCAGGGGCTAGGGGTAGCCAAAAAAGAAAATACGTTTTTAATTACTCAAAAGGGAAAAATACAACATATGACAAGATACACATTTTACTAATTATAAAAAAGTTAATTATTTCCGTTGGCAGTGGGGATATGAATGCTATTTCAGTAATTATAATAGTCAATCTAGAGGTGTAGCAAATTTTATTAATTATAATGATTTTGACTTTAAATTGCAAACTCTTGAATCAGATCAAAATGGTTGTTTACTTTTTATACATGCATGTATTTCAAATATTGATATCATTTTAATTTGTATATATGAACCAGATAGAGATGACCCTATTTTTTACAACAATATAAAAGAGAACATCTTTCAGTTAGAGAACCTATGTTAAATGGTAGGAGATTTTAATACGGTGTTTAATTCAAATATGGACTGCTTTAATCATTTTAACATAAATAACACTAAGGCCATGGTTGTTTTAGATATGATAATTGAATGTAATTTGATTGATTGCTGGAGGTAACAATATTTAGAAAAAGGCAATATACTTGGTTTAAGAGGAAAGCTGAAAAAAATCTAGGCTTGATTTCCTAATTTCCAATAATTTTTTTACAGATATGAGCAGTGTTGATATTGTGCCAGGTTATAGAACTGACCATTCCATGATTTTGTCATTATACAAAAGTGTAAACATTAAGGGAAACAGATTATGTAAACCTTATATTGATAATGACATGCCAAAACTGATTAATGAAGAAAGACAGGGTCTTGAAGGTCTTTTAAGTTATAAGTTATAAGGAAATGTTAGACAGTTTAAAAAATGTCTAATGATTCTTCTCTAGGTAGTAGTGGTTTTACAGTGGCTTTCTTTAAAAATTTTGGAATGATTTAGGTCATTTTGTAGTAAGAGCAGTTAACCAAGCTTTTGTTTCAGGAAAATTATCAGATACATTTAAACAATGGGTAATGACGTGCATCCCTAAATTAAACAAAGACAACCATTATATTAAAAACTGGAGACCTATTTCTTTATTAAATGTTTCTTGCCAAAGTGCATCAGTTAGTATTGCCCAACGCTTCAAAACTGTATTACATTAACTTATTATTAAGCATATTGGTAAAAATGTTGCAATTAAGTCATTTTCATTACCTTTAGTATATCACCTCAATCTCAGCTCACCAAATCATGATAAAATACAATTAAGACTGTACAAAAATCCTTCTTTTAAATCCTATGGACCAGATAAAATTTAAAGAAACGTTGTTTTCCAGAATTATGAAAATTGGGGTTTCAGAGTGATAAACTTAGAGACTTAGAGACTTTCATAATAACTCTAAAATTGACATGGATAAGAAGTATTTTAAAGTATAATATTAAATACTTTTGTAAATAACGTGTACACTTTTCTATCAAATATTAATAAATATTGAGTAAAATTTTTGATAAATAAACTTCAGACAGTGCAAAATAAACCTATGTTTAAAATAGGTGGTTCTACTGTTTGTTTTGCAAGGTATGTCTATTGCAGTATTATATTGGTAAATGCTTTCTTAGTCAAAAGAGGTAATTTGCTATCATTTGATGAATTTTTAACTAAGATTGATATAAATACCAATTTTTAGGGTATCGAAATTTTATACAGTCTATTTGGAGTTGTTTTCTTTTTAAATCAAATGTCTTTTGGACACCTACCCCAGAAAAGGAAATACCTATTCAGCTTTAAATGATCAAAATTATCAAAAGTCAAAAGAAGGGATGTAGACACCTCTATGATTATATTCTTAGAGCAAACATATCCTAACTATTACAATGGTTTCAGTATAAAGTCAATCACAGGACACTGGCAACAAAAACTCTTAAATAAAATGAGAATAAAAGATGTTAACACATGTTCTTTTTGCAAGAACCATATTGAAACTATCAGATATTTATTTTAGGATTGCCAATTAAGTTCTTCTTTTTGGGAAGATATAAAATAATAGATAAATTCAAAATGTACATGTGTTAGCACACATTGGACCTTAACGAATATTATTCTAGGCAATGAATACTTAGATAATGCAACATTGAATTTAATTTTGTTGGGAAAGTACTTTCTTTATCGATGAAAATTAAAGAACTCAGTTCCAAGCGCTCAACTTATAAAAAGTTATGCCGCTATTCTTTTTAGAACACAATTATATAGTGCAAAACACAAAAACAAAATAGGGTTTCAAAGTTTGACAATTTATGGGACAAATATATATTATTTCTTTGCTGCGTAATTGAGACTTATGTTTTAAGATCATTTCTGATCCACTCTGTACTGCACCCACTTCCCTTTTGTATCTTTTTCTCTTGAACACCTTGAATGACCTGGTATATTCATTTTTTTCCTTATTATATTAATTCTTAAAGTTTTCATAACAAGAGGAACAACTCTTAATTTGATATCAAATTTAAAATAGTAGGAGTTGTTTCCCTTGAATTGATCACAAGTATATCTATTTATATTGGAATTTCTCCTTTATGATAAAGAAGTTCTGTAACATTGTTAAGTATAAAGTTATGAAAAGGAATCTTTTTCTAATGTTATAATGAAAATAGGTCTGGCATTTAATAATTTTGACAACTTTGGTAAGATACTATTGAATCATTATCTTTATTATATTTATAAACTTTGTAGAATCTTAAAAGAAATCTCTTGTTCCTTCTTAAATGTATATTTCAATATATGTAGTATTCATATCATAATTTTTTTGTACTGTGAAAAACATCTGAAAATTAAAAAAAATCAACTCGGGAACTTAAAGGTATACTGTTTCTGCATTGATTACGCCCTGGTTACCTGAAATCGGCTGAAATATATGTCAGCTACGTAGGTCAGAATACAACCATGTATGTTTTCTCGTAGATTTTAAAGGGAGGGGTACATACCTTTTCATAGTTAATAGTATCGATATTTTTTTTGTTTAATTTTGTATTGACATTATTTTGAATGTGTTGAAGTAAATTTGGGTAGTATAGCGGGTCCAGGGCTTGTAACCTGAGTTTTGGGGCTTGGTCACACACCGATTACCTTCGGATGAGATAACCTAGAAACGTATATAACTTTGACGACACTTGGTTAATTCGATTTGTAAATCATTTTTTAACAACAATGAAGCACACCGTCGCCTAGAAACATTAGAACAGGTTAGTCACTGATGATCTTGTTCAAGTCGGTAAGCTATTGACTTCTACTGTATGTTTATAGAATTCCCTTCCGGGGGATTTCTAATATGCTGCGCATACGCAATTCGCTATCGATAGGCTCGTAAAGGGTTCTATCAATATTGCACTACTCAAGTGGCTAGCATACAACAAAAAGAAATAAGGTAAAATGCTTCACGGTCTTAAATATATTTACACATACGGATGTTTATAATCTGTAAGCATTTAAAGGGTAAACGTCCAGAGTAGACGCTGTTAACAAATCAATTAAACAAAACGGTAATGTTCTGCCTCTCGTTCTTTTATATCACCGGTTTCGTAGGGTTTTTTACAGGATTTTTTATCATCGTCACCCTGACCTATCTGAACGCAAGCCGGAAAGTATACAAGCCAGCAGGACACGTCAAAAAAAGAGTACATTAGTAACTGTGAACAAGTGAACTTAATTTGAACTTGGACAAGAAAAGAATCGACAAGAACGAATGTGAGCGGTCAGAGAGGGGGCATCTTTTCAATAATTTATAGTCACGTTACAGCACACCTTTGCATTTGTACAGAGGGACGATTCATTCCAACTATGTTGATTTTCCAAGAAAGTGTTTTAAATATAACTACATTGTTTAATAAGTTATTATGCGTTATATTATACATTTTATTTCCTACACATACATGTGGTAAAACTTTTTCTATCAGGGCTGTTTACAAAACAGAAATTACAAAGATGGATTCCCATTTTCTTGGTATTAATCTTCCTCTTATGAGGCTTTATTAACGGCGAGCTGTTTGCTGGGTTTTTTTAAGTTGTAAAGTCAAATTAATTCCAAATTGTGGACGTGACAGGCTCGTGTGTCTTATAATGGACATCCAGGATAGCCATCTGACTCTTGAAATGTTTATAGAACACGAAGCTGTGCATGTTTGACTACTGGCCCAGACCACACACACAGCACTAAGCACTAAGATGTGAAGGTAAGTCACTACATATTTCATTACTTAATTCCAGGGAATAAATCGGTATCTCAAGAAATATGTCACAGCTGCAAATAATAACATATCCCATTGTTAAGAGTTAGATATTTTCATAAATGTACACCGTAAACAATAAACATTACATAACCTTGATATTGATTGAAAACTCGTGTGATTTTTAATTTATCTTAAAGGTAAGGCCACCAATCGTGCAGAGATGTGGGATTCTAAAAACAATTCACAATCAGCAAAGCCATATTCTCCGTGCTTTTGAACCACGCCTTTGACAAAACGACACCGTCATCTGTCAAGAAGGCATTTTTAACAACAGTGATTTGCCCACTTAATCAGCATGCCATTGAGAAGAGCCAGATTGTGCCAGCTTCTTTCAAGCCGCCTTCGTATAAGGAATCTCAGGAGGGTAAGTACTGATGTCCTTGTATAACTGTAAAACTGATTTGTAATTCATGTTATACGTTTGTATTTATCCATAATAAAAAAATAGCATTTAGAACATTCAATCTTAAAAGAGGATTGTGTGTGGTCAGAAGTATGCCTTATCATTCAAACAAATACTCATGCATGTATATGCTCCGATCAATGAAGGGATAAACCGTTAATAAAATGTCAGGTTTTACTGGAAAGAATGGTGATCAGCAGTGAAAACATGCTGATAAAGCTA